GCAGGTCTTGAACCCGTGGGCTCAGGCAATCCACTCACCTCGGCCTCCCAAAGTGCTGGGTTTACAAGCCACTGAGCCCGGCTGGCTTGCTGACTCCTAATCACATATCTTTATGTTGTTTTTGTGGTTCAGTTATTTATCCAAGGCCAGGTACAGTGGCTCATGCCTATAATCCCAGCACTGTGGGAGGCCAGGGTGAGAGGATTGCCTGAGCCCACTAGTTCAAAATCATCCTGGGCAACTTGGCGAGACCTCATATCTACAATAAGTCAAAAAATTAACTGGGCGTGGTGGCGCATGCCTGTAGTTCCAGCTACTTGGAAGGCTGGGGTAGAAGGATCACTTGAGTCCAGCAGGTCGAGGCTGTGGTGGCCATGAGCATGCCACTGCACTCCAACCTGGGCAACAGAGTGAGACTTCGACTCAAAAAAAAAATTTATCCAAAATTACCTGAGTCAGTGGGTAGTTTCTCTAGTCTTCTACCCTGTCCTTCTGTAAGTTAGTGCAACTTTTACTTGTCAAATAAATAACTGGATATGCCAAGCACAAGAAATTCTCTGCTCAAATATCTAGTAGAACAAGGTAAGTGTAAAAATGGGGTGTGATTTTATTCCTTCTGATATGGAGGGAGAAATCCCTCAAAAACATTTTTTTTAAAAATTTGAATCACAGTTCATTTGTATAAGAAATATTTGATCAAAATCTCTGGGAGAGTGGGCATCACACAGGATTCAGTCAGCAAAAGAGAAACTGCACAAAACAGAAAAGATTTAATGTAGGGAATCAGCACTTAAAGGAAATGGGAAGGTTAAAGGAGTAAAATCAGGAGACTTTTCCAGATATTGTCAGCTGGCACTTGGAAGCCTTTTTATTCCCTTTCTCCCTGTATTGCAGGATCTGAAATCCTATGAATTACATTCCCACTTCCCATCCTCCCTGCAGGATTTTGAATACAGTTTAAGTTCCTCTGATAACATTCATTTGTATGATATTCTAAAAATAGAATGGAAATGAAAATAAAAGTCTTTTTTTTTTTTTTTTTTTTTTTAGTAGGAGTCTCACTCTGTCACCCAGGCTGGAGTTGCAGTGGCACAGTCACAGCCACTGCAGCCTCAACCTGTCCAGCTCAGGTGATCCTTCTGCCTCACCCTTCCAAGTAGCTGGAAGCACAGACACATGCCAACACACCCAGCTAATTTTTTGGCTTATTGTAGAGATGAAGTCTTGCCAAGTTACCCAGGCAGGTCTCAAATCCTCAGACTCATGCAATCCTCACACCTCCACCTCCCAAAGTGCTGGGTTTATAGGCGTGAGCCACCGTGCCCAGCCAGAAGCTACTCTTTACAAGGAATTCAGCAGATATAAAACATAAATTGTTTTGGTGGCCTTAGCATTCTTCTGCAGGTCTTGCACTTTTGTATGGTGTGTACTTTTACTTTTATTTCACAGATGAGGAGATAAGACTTTAGGGAAAATACATAACTGTTCAATTATTATGCAAACAAGAAGCAAAGCCCAGGCTTTCATTAAGTATTTATTACATATCTTTTTGAACTTACCATTTTATATTCTACCCTTTTGTGATCATTTTTTTGGCCATAAAAGGGTCACTTCCCACTTATGAGTCTAGGTATATAATATTCAAATGTAACATCACCTTCCATTTAATAACATCTTCCAATTCTATCTCTTTCCTATTTTGGTACAAATCATGCAAAACTGATGCCTGGATTGAGAATATATAATAGAATATGGCTTGCTGAAAATGTAAAACCTCCCCCTACCCTACAAGGTTATTCTATACGCCAAAAAAAAGCTTTCTGTTAGTCTGCTGTCATTCTCCATTGCGATAGTTTTAAAGTTTGGCTAAAATAGGAAGTTCTTTTTTAAAAGGAATAGAGGTCTCTGCATCTGATTCCATACTTAACAACTTTGTGGGTCTTCCAGTGAAGAAAAAAAACTTAAATTAATTCTAAACTGGATGCAGTGGCTCACGCCTGTAATCCCGGTACTTTGGGAGGCAGAGGCAAGAGGATTATCTGAGTCCAGGGGTAGTCTGGGCAACTTGGCGAGACTTTGTCTCTACAGTAAATCAAACAATTAGCCAGGTGTGGTGGCATGTGCCTGTGGTTCCAGCTACTTGGAAGGCTGAGGCAAAAGGATCGCCTGAGCACAGCAGTTCGAGGCTGTGGTGGCCGTGACTGTGCCACTGCATTCCAGCCAAAAAATTAGTTCTCAGAACCAAATAGAATACCAGCTCGGGCTCCACTCCATTACAATGGTGTTGAATGAGGAGCCACTACAGGATCCAAGATTACAATACCCATGAATCCCATCATAATAAACAAGCACCTCCCAGCACTCCAGGAACAATATGCCAAAAGCCTGAAAATGTTGTAGAGGATTCATTCTGGTTCTGCTTGTTAGTAATACAGGAATGCTCTCCAGAATATTTTAAAAATTAGAACAAACCAAAATACTCAATAATATTACAAGAGGACTCTAAGAGATTCTCCAGACCCCATTTGGTTTCTTCTTCCATCTTCTCCTTCTGCCTGCAGTGACTGGCTCTGCACTATATTTCAGGGAGCTATAATAATTTGTGGTCAAATTTTTTTGAAATGGCTTGGCAAATTTAGTATATCTCAGACCAAAGATATGTTTATTTACAGGAAACCTGGATGGTTGCTGTGCTGACTCAAACTTAGTAATAATGAGAGTGTATAATAATTGTGAAGACCACGGGTGTGGGGGGAAACAAACTTCTATTCCCACTGATATTTTATTGAATGTCAATAGCCTCTAAGCCACATTCCTACCATGTCTCTTGC